GACAATAAGGCATCTTCCTAAGGTCACACACTGCTCAGGGGTGCCCAGCAAAAGAGGCAGAGCTCCTGACACAGCATATCCCGAACTTCCCCACTATCAGACAAAATGGGATTGGTACAGGGCTGATTTTGTTTCATTCAACTTTATTTTTTTTGTCAAAAGTCTCACTATGCTGCTCAGGCTGGAGTGCAGTGGCACAATCACAGTTCACTGCATTCTCAAATTCCTGGGCTCAAACAATCCTCTTGCCTCAGCCTCCCGAGTAGCTGGGACTACAGATGTATCTGCCAGCTCTATTTTTATTTCGAAGAGTTTCAAACCCACAAGAAAAGTTGCAAAATTTTGCCATGCTTGCTTTCTCTCACTGATGACAGAAATTACTCCTTCAGGTGTCACCTCTGTCTTCTTGTGCCCCTGACTGTCCTCTGAGATACTCCTCTAATGAGTGGCCAAAGACCATTCCCTCCCTGCTCAGACTCTGAGCTTGGTCTCTTGTTTGAAAGTGACAAAACACTAGCTCAAACTGGCTTAAGCCAAAAAGATAATTTATCAACTCACATAGTGGAAAAATCTTATGAGCAGTAACAGTTTCAGATGTGGCTGGATCCAGGTGCACAAGTGTTATGTCTAGGATGCTCCCTATCTCTCTTTCAGTTCCACTTCCTTTCATGGTTGGCCCAGCTCTTCCTAGAGGGGTGTTGATGAAAGATGTCAAACTCTAGAAAATATTTAAGATTGTTTATTCTGAGTCAAATGTGAGTGACACAGGAGATCCTGGGAACATGTGCCTACCATGGCTGAATTGTGGCTTAGTTACACATGTTAAGAAGACAAAAGTTATAGAAAACCATAAACCAATACATGTGGGATTTACATTGGTTCAGTCCAGGAAGGTGGGTATCTCCAAGCGGGGGGTTGCAGGCTATAGGTGGATTCAAAGATTTCCTGACTGGCAATTAGTTAGTAAGAGTTGTCTAAAGAATTTTGAAAGCAATAAAGGAAATGAGCGGCTTGAGGAACAATGAGGGAGTCAACTTTCTTCATGTGCAGATGAAGCCTCATAGGTGGCAGTCTTCAGGCAGGACAGGTAAGGGTCTTAAAAGGTGCCTGGAGTCCCCAAAAGACAGTTTTATGTGGTCACAAAATGCTTTGATTTCCTTCTTTATCTGTTGTGTGATGTTATGCCAGAGTCAGGTTGGAAAATAAATATTGTATAGGGTTAGTAAGAAACCTGTCTCCCCAGGCCCCTTAGGAATTTGGCAAGTTAAAAATAGAGGTCAAGGTTTAGTCCTCAGGGGGCACATGGTCACCTGCAGCCCTGGGATGACCTTCTCCACAGCCCCAGAAAATGCCTTGGGGTGGAGTCTCATTTGCTGACTCAGGTCATGTGCCCATCTCAGAGCTAATAACCATAGACAGGGCTGGAGTGCTTGTGATAGGTAGACTGGGTTTGCGCCCTTGGGTCAAAGGGCAGATTGTTGGAAGAGGAGCTGCTCCCAAAAGAATGGAGGAGCTTGTCTGTCTTCTCTTCCCATGACATTGATATTGGGTAGGCTAGCTTGGCTCACCTTGAAGCTCTACCCCGAGTCCTGGGGGTCTCTGGGCATGGCTCTTACCCTCTTGGCTTCAATTTGCTGGTCTGTTGGACAGTTCACCAACAGGGTCATAGAGGGGGTAACAGAAGGGTCCCCAGACAGCCTGATACATAGGCAGTGCCCATTAAACGCTAACCTGTTCTCCCAGACTCCATGCTCAGCACACACCTGCAGGAGAGTCACAACCCCTTAGAACCCTGTGAATGGAAACCTCCGTTTTTCTAGAAGGTTTTATGTGAACTGTTCAGGGAAGTCACTGATTAATAAGCCACGGCACCGACGCTTTTGATGAAAAAATTCATATTGAGCTTAGAAAAGAATTGCTGTTTTGCAAAATAATTGGTTGCTGAGACTGGAAATATTGTCTGTTTTAAATAAAAACTGTAAACTCAATGGTGTCCTCAGAGCACCCGCTGCCTCAGGCCTAGGTTGTTTTCTACATGGTCATCCACTGACCGGGCAGGGCAGAGCCTGGAGCCCACAGGGATAAGGAATAAGGGGCAGCTGATGCTTGTAGTTGGCTTTGGTTCTGCATCTCTGATGATGTGGGAATAGGGTAGCGGGAGGTCTTGGGTCTAAGGCTCAGGAGCAGGGGCCAGGCCAGAGGTCAGGAAAGCAAAGCCAGTGTGCTGCCAGGTGGGGTGCGGTGTGTAGCTCCATGGGTTGTTTGTCTTCACCACAGAAAACATTTCAGAGTGAGTCCCAAATATAGTTGAAGGTAGAATTTATTAGAGAGAAAAAGACATGCTCAAAGGACATGGGTGCCTTAAGAAAATGGACACAGACTTGCCTTTGACAAGAAGCTTTGTATACTTTTAAAACCATGATTAAATAAACCATGAGCTAAGAGGGATGGGCTGCAGGTATTTGGTCCTGAGTTTTGATGACCATCTTGCTAACTTCTAAGGTCACAAGGACCTTCTAAATAATTGAAATTGTTACTTAACTAGATGTGAGCTTGTCTTAGAACATCATGTCTGTGTTTTGGGTAATTCCCTATTGTTTCTGTGATTTACTGCACTGCTGGAGTCACATTCCAGCCTGCAGGGTGGCCAGGTCTGGTATGCCTGGGCAGTCCAGTGGAGGTTGTATACTGAAAAGATGTCTGAATGCGTACCTTATTTTAATCTAAACTGCCTGCAAGAAACTCATCTATCTATGTCTAACCTGCACTGAATAATCTGCCTTACCTTTGTATCGGGCTGCAGAGGTGAGAGGCAGCAGGGAGCTCTTGGCCACCCCAATGGTCCTCCTCAAATCCCTGTATAGTACATGCTGCTCTTTCAATGGGTGGAGCAACTGAGGCCCAGATAAGAAACGGGAACTGCTCAAGGGCACTCAATGAGCAGGTCATCCTGGAGCCAGCTCTTTAGGCCCTGAGGTCCAGGTTCAAAGAAAGCCATGCTCCAGCCAGAGGGAGTTGGCCATCTGTGTGTTAACCAGATCTGTGATGTGTCCCCAGGCACAAGGCACTGGGGGTGGGGTGGGATTTAACAAGAAAATAAAATGGACATATTAAAAAATACTAAGAAAATACTAAGAAAAATACGAAGAAACAAGATTGAAAAGCAGGCATTTACTTGAGAAAAAGTTATGAAGCATAAAGTGGTATTATACTCATATGCAAAAAGTTCATGAGAATCAATATGGAAGAGACCAAACTCCTTGTAGAAAGTCGCATGTAGATGAGTCACATGATGTCACAGACCCAGCAGATGATGGTTTGGTCTCACTGGGAACTACTGTGAGGCAGGGAGGGCAAATTGGTATCTCCATGTGTGAGTTTAGCTGTTCTTATTCCAATAAGGGCCAGAGTTGGCAGGCACCTGGCAGGATGGGTGCACTCCCATGTCACCATGTGTGGGTCAGTCCCTACAACCCTCCAGGAAAGTAATTTGGCAAAAGTCTCACACTTTTTCCTACTCTTGGATCTACTTCTAGGAATTTACTCCAAGGAAAGCAAAGACTTCACCATGAAGTTGTTTATCTCAGAGTTATTTAAAAGGCCACAAGATTGGGAACCATTGTGGGTTCCAGTAGGAGGGCCAGAGTGTGAGAAGGTGGGCTGGCACAATTCCCGTATCAGATGGAATCTCTTGCAAGGGCTGGCTGCATGGAAATGTTCAAAGACTGGGGAAGTTCTTGTCTAAAGTGCCACCTTTTTATTTGGCAGGAGATAATACACTAGTTTGTTTTTGCTCACTGAGTTAGGTGTTCTCAATGTTCACTTGTCCCTTAGCATATGTCTCATGTGGTACCTTCCATTACCAAAAAGAGGTAGCAAGAATTGCTTTGCCGAGAAGCCTGCATTCAGAAGGCCATGTGCTCAGCCCTGCCAGCAACTTCAGACATGGTGTCAGTCTTCTCATCCCCAGCACTCCAACAGATGGTGGCTGCTCTCTGCCCATCCTGGGCTCTGGAAAGGTACCAAGAGCAGAGAGTAACCATCACATAGCCTTCAGGTAAAGTGCACAAAAGAAAACTTTTGCTGTCCTAAGTCACTGGAGTTCTGAAGTCATTTGTTACTGTAGCAAATGCATTGGGTTGCTGGCACTACAAAAAGGCTTGGCATATTGCAGGAGCTCAACAAACAATTGTTAACAGAGCAAATAAAGAAATGACCCTGAGGAAAGTACTGCAAGAATATAGGCTGGATATTGTTGGTGGCTATTTGGATGATTTTATTATTTTTTTCTTCCTACTTTTCTGGTGTTTTTAGAAGGGCAGACACTGCTGTACTGTGTGACTTTAGCAACTACAAACAAATGTTAAAGGTTTTTACTTTTTTATTTTTTTGAGTTAGGGTCTCACTCTGTCACCCAAACTGGAGTGCAGTGGCATGCTCACGGCTCATCACAACCTTGTACTCCTGGGCTCAGATGATCATTCTGCCTCAGCCCCCCCAGGGACTACAGGTCTGAGCTGCCACGCCCAGCTAATTTTTTAATTTTTTTGTAGGGATAAGTTCTCATTATGTTACTAGAGTTCGAACTCCTATACTCAAGTGATCTTCCAGGCTCAGCCTCCCAAGTGCTGGGATTGTAGACTTGAGTCACTACACAAAGGTTTTTTTAAAAATAAAGATAATAAAAACAACACATTGCGTTGGACATCTGCTATAAAACTTTCCCAAGTATGATAAATCCTTTCATTACGATTGTCATTATTGTTAAATTTTTAATAGCCCTTATAGACATGTAGTTCAAAAACAGAAAGAAATAGAGTATAAGAGAGAAAGTTTTCTGGTGCCCTCTGCCCGATTCCCTACACCATGTCTCAATAGACAACCCATCTCTGGTTCCTGGAGTTCACATGAAAACAGGAGTACAGGTGCTTGGTACTCTCCCCTGTTTTCACAAGAGGAGTGTGCAGGACCTGATGCCTGGGCTTGCTTCTCAGCCTCACTCTATGCTTGGGAGGCCTTTCATGAAGTCTCTGGGAGGTGGCCTTGTTCTTTTTGACAGCCATGTAGTATTCCACGGTCTGAGGGGCTGTGCTGCATGGAACTGTTTCACTGTCACAGACATGGTTGGAGCGAGCTTGTGACCCGTCCATCTGCAGGATGAATTCCCAGAAGCAGAGTGATTGGGTCAAGAAGTTTGTGCATTTGTAATTTTCATAGCTTTTGCCAGATTTCCCCCAGAGAGAGGCTGTGCTAATTCACACTCAGTGGGGGAGGCCAGGACCGTCCGTTCCAGCAGTTGCACCTGCAGAGCGTGCTAATTGGCTCCAGGATTAGGACAAGGGCGGTCATTTCCATGTCTCTTGTTGTGAGGGATGTTCAGCCTCTCCCCACGGGCCTGGGGCCCTTCCTATGTCTCTTTCTGCTGACTGCCCACACATGGGCTGGTGTCTCCAGCCCTGCCATTGGATCCCTGGGCTCCTGTATGTGCCATTAGAGCCCTGGGCTCCTGCCTGTGTTCTGGGTGTGGGAACGCCTGGCTGACAGCATGGCAGCGGGTCAGCTGTTAGGATGAGGTGAGGTCTCCCGCCTCCAAGCATCTGGCCGTAGGAAGGGGAGGGCCATGGCCATGACACTTGCTCTCAGCTCACAAAGGGACATGGTGTGGATGTGACACTTTCCCATGGAGCTGACAGACTGGGTGCTGGCCCATGACCAGGTTCAAACCTGGGTTCAGCCATCTCTATACCCATAAAGTTGGCATAGCACCCAAGCCTCCTCATAGGACTGTGGGGCTGTGTCAGTGGCCAGTGGTGCTGGCCACTGAAGCTCTCTGTGTTGTCATCCACAATTCTGAAGTTTACTGGGGGGAAGGCTCATTCCAGCTCCTCAAACAGTCCACGACTCAGTGAGGCCCATTTTCCTCTCCCACTGCCCCATCACTGTGGTGCCTAGGGGGAGGTCCAATGGAGGGACAGGACAATGAGGAGCCCAGGGACCCGGCTGGGGACCCTGGACTCATCCCCTGACCCCCAACATCCTGACAGCACTGCCTGTCCACTGAACACCTTCCCTTGAGACCCAATTGCCGATTCTGCCTCCTGGGCTAGCTCTTGGCTCAAAAGTCACCCCACAGGGAGGAGCAGGTCCTGCAGGGCTTCCCTGTGACCTTCCTCTGTCCTCACAGCCCTGCCCAACATGAGTTTGAGCACAGGCACTGTGCCCTTCTGAGCCGGCCAGAAAGGAGTCACACTGGGACTCAATGAATGGGATCTCAGCTGAGCTCTGCACAACCCCAAGTTCAAGGTGGGGGCTATGACTGTGGCTGTCAGGACTCCCGAGGACTGATGACTTAGATCCGAGTCCTGTTTGGGGTCCCCCTAGGACATACCTGCTTGCAGAAGAGATGCCCTAGGTTGGGGGCACTGCCACAAGCTCACATCTTGGGCCTCAGTTTCCTGTTTATAAATGGTATCATGGCACTGCTGGCCCCTTGTGGCCACTGTGGGGACAGAGTGGACATCTATAAGACTTGGACCCAGCAGCCCAGGCCAGGAGGTAGGAGGATGGGCTATTGTAGCTCTATGTGGTCAAGACCCTGAACTCCTGAGTCCACCCTTCCCACACCCTGGATATCGAGGAATGTTGGAAGCAGGTTGGCCTCTCCCTGATGCAGAGATCCTCTGTTGCCCATGTGCCACATATTGGTGGGAGGGAGGCTTCTGGAATTACCTGGCATTTAGTCCATGTCTGGGTGCCCCACCAGTCACGGCCCCATTCCACTGGTCACCAGGCCCTTCCAAGAAGCCCATTCCAGGCAGAGATCAGCAAGGCCCCCAAGCCTGCTTCAGTCCCTGAACGGGACACACCTGTGGGTGGTTCTATAGCAAGACCACTTGTAAAACAGAACTAATTTGTTATTCAGTTGAGTACATTAGTTTATTCTGAGATACTGTTTGTAACTTTGGAGCTGTTTTGAAAATGTGCACCTGTTGTGCTTGACACAAAAAAGTTGGCATGTCAGGTCCGGTTCTCAGCAGGCGCAGGGAGCCTCCCCCAAGTCCCTGTTAGGTGTCAACCCAGAAAAGCCTCTTTGCAGACATGGATGCTCTTTCTTTAATGTGTGTCCCATGCTGGTGATGCTGCCTGGGGACAGTAAATAACTGTCATAGCTCAACCCCTCAGCTGCACTCCCTCAACACGCTCTTGTCCGCCACACCTTCCATCACATTCCAGCCCAGAGAAATCACAGTGTGACATGAATGAGAACATGGATTAAACAGCTTTCTAGCTGAAGAGGTCTGGAAATTGGGCAGACATGCTTAACAATGCCCTGGGGGTGCTGAGAGAGGCCGATGTTGCTGGGACATGACAACTCTCTGCTGCCAGATTCTCACCATCTAAGTCCTGAGTATTCATCACCCAAAAGAAGACCCTGCATTCATTAGTAATCACTTCCCATGCTCCCTACCCAGCTCCGGCAACAGCTCACCTTCCTGTCTTGATGTGCTTGCCAGCTCTGCACATCTCATATACATGGAGTCACTCAGTAGGTGGTCTTTTGTGCCTGGCTCCTTCCATGTACCATGTGTTCAAGGCGCGTCCATGGTCAGCCTGTGTCAGCACTTCATTGCTTTTTGTGACTGAATGATATTTCACTGAATAGATAAAGCACTCCACGCTCTGGCTGATGGGCATTTGGGCTCTCTCCATTTTGGCAATTATAATAAGCTTTAATGCAGCTTGGGCAACACTGTGAGACCTCGTCTCTACAAAAAATCAAAAAGAGCCCTCGTTTCTACAAAAAATAAAAAAATCAGCTGGGAGTGGTGGTGTGCTTGTAGTCCCAGTGTCTTGGGAGGCTGAGGCGGAAGGATCACCTGAGCCCAGAGAATCGAGGCTGCAGGGAGCTGGGATAGTGCCACTGCACTCCAGCCTGGGCAACAGTGAAGTCTCAACTCAGCTCAAAACAAAACAAAACAAAACAAACAACACAAAAAATAAGGCTGCAAGGAACACTCACGTATCACATTTTTGTATATACCTAAATGGGGTTATCAGGTCAAGAGATGACTCTATGTCTAACTTCCGAGAAACTACCCAACACTTTTCTGCGAAGGCCGCACTGTTGTACACTCCCACAACAGTGAGCAAGGGCTATACCTATTCCACATCCTTGCTAGCGCTTGCTGTTGGCCTTTTTGTTTTGACTCTAGCTATCCCAGTCGGTGCAAGGTAGTGGCTCACTGGGGCTGGATTTGCTTTTCTCTAATTAATGACTGGGGTGCGATGGTCTTTTGTGTGCTTGTGGCCTGTTTGTGCCATTTGTGTCTCTTCTGTGGAAATGTGTCTGTCCAGACTCTTTGCCCAGTTGCTGTTTGGGTTGTTTGCTTTTTTGTGTTGAGTTCTGAGAGTTCTTTGCATATTCTGGATGTTAGTCACTTATCAGATATCTGATTGCAAATAATTCCTCCCATTCTGTGGGTGTCTTTACAAAAGTTTTTAACTGTGATGAAGTCCAATATATCTATTTTTTGCTTTGGTTTTCTGTGCCCACAGTCTTCTGATTAAATCTGCCACACTCTTGTGGCTGAGTCTCTGCTCTCATGACCCTGATTACCGCCTTTCTGCTCTGCGTCAGGCCAGTGCTGAGCCAGGTGTGCTGCGGCCCCTGCTGGCGGCTGTGGGCATCGCTGACGCTATGGTCCTCATCCCTGGATGGGCCTGCCGCCCTCCTCTCCTGCCTGAGCAGACTGTGGGCACACCACTGCCACCCAGCTTAAGGAGGAGCTCTGAGAGCATGGGAGCGAGAAATGTTGAACTTAGACCAAGCAGCGCTTGTGCTCAAGGCTCTGTTGTCTTTCTGGGAAGGGGAGAGAAAGGAAAGTGTTCTTCCTTCTGGTTCTAGCACTGCTGACCACAGACCATGCCCTATTTCATCCTGACCCAACCTGCAGGGTCAAGATTCTCGTCCCCATTCTCCAGAGGAGGAAACCAAGATGCAGGATAGTGAAGTAAATGCCCAAGGCTCCTTACTAACTGGGACCTTGGGGACTGACTGACCCATTCAAACATTTATTCAGTCATTTGTGAGGCTGTACCTTGTACTGAGCCTGGGCACATGGCAGTGAAGTGAAACTGAGACGCCATCCTGGTGAGCTCATGGTCTTGTGGGACAGACTGAACAGAGAAGAACCACAAGGAATCCAGTCAGGATCCCCAGGGACCGGGCCCTGGAGTCTGGGTCAGGATCTGGGGGAGAAGGGATGTCACCCTCCTCAGGCCGGCAGCCTAGTGCTGACTTCTGATTGGGGTGAAAGCTTTGTGGCCCTGCTTCTACTTAGAGTGAGATCTCTGTTCAGAATCCCCTAGGCGCCCAGGAGCCCATGGTCCTAGTAGGGAAAGAGGCAATATTCAGGACACTGAGGAGGACGCCCACCCTTGTCTGTGTATGTGGATAGAGAGTTGATGTTTGCTTCACACATTTGCAAAAACAGATTCTGGAAGGAAACAGAAGACATCAAAAACACAAATAACAGTGATTACTCGGGTTAGGCGGAGCTCAGCAGGTGAGGACAGGTGTGATTGAGAGGACTTTCACAAATTTGAATAATCACTTGAATAGCATCACTCACAAATTAAATTAAAAATAAAAAGGAATGATGAAATATTCTAAAATGGGCTGTGGCACAGCTCTGAAAATACTGAAAAGCCTTGACTTGTACACGTTAAATGGGTAAATTGTATGGTGTGTGAATTACAGCTCAATAAAGCTGTTTGAAAGAAAGAAGAAAACGCCTTCTGGTGTTGGATGGTGTCCATGGCAACAGCCCGGACAGAGCGCAGGTTTCTTGTGGTGCATACGGGCCCAGAGGTACTCAGACGGACGTATTGGCATGGCCATGCACAGCCCAGGCACATTCAGACCTCAGTGGGCATGGAACCCTGGTGGGCTTGCTGAAACCCAGGCTGCTGGCCTCACCCTCAGACCTTTAGGCCCTTGGGGGCCTAAGAATCTGCACGTGTTCCCAGGGATGCTGGTGCTGTGGTCCAGGGACACTTTTTGAGAACTGCTGGCATAGATGGCCTCTGGTAGCCTTGGGGACCTCAAGGACAAGAGCACTCAGTGGGGGGCGGGGGTTCACTATACAATACTTTGAATTTCATACTGTGCAATTAGGCTGTAACAAAAATATGTAACGATATTTGAACTTTAATGAACTTATTGCAATTAGGTCTGTGTTGCGGAGACGGCTAACAGTCCTTTACTACTCAGTCTCTTCTTCCTCCTCGGACATAGAAACACTGAACTTTAGCTGAGAACATGGCTTCCTGGAATAGAAACATCTCCTAGCTTTCCTTGCAGCCATGTGGTGATTTTCTGACCACAAGATGTGAGTGGATGTGACCAGAAAGTTCTGAGAAATGCCGTAGAGAGTGGGAGTGCACACTTCCTCCTCCCTTTCTCCTTCCTGCTGGTTGGGATGCAAGTTTGATAACTGGAACTCAAGCAGCTCTCTTAGGCAGAGCTGTTGAGAATGCCAGAGCAGAAGACAGGAGGACCTTGTTGCCCTGAGGATGAGGAGCTGCCATCAGACCTGTACTGCTGCCTCAGGGCATGTTTATGTGATAAAGAAATGTCTGCTTTGTTTCAGCAGCTGATTGTGTTTTGTGTCACTCATAGTCACACTAAGCCCTGAGTGATAAGGCAGGTAAGTGTGCCCTGGCCCATGGCAGGTGCCCTAGCTGAGCATTGACCTGGCCACAGTATGCCTCGGGTGGGAGAGAAATGAACCCAGGCCTGAAACCTGGGACTCCTGGGAACCTGGAAGAGATGCTGATACAGAGAAGGACAAAAAGTCCCCCAGTCCCGACCCCAGCCCAGCTGTCAGTCATTGGTCATTGGCCTTCAAGGTCGTACCATCCATGGTTTCCAACACCGAGTGTCCCTCTGGCAGAGGGTGCTGCTCTAGCAAGACAATATGCGCCTAGCTGCATGCTTTTCTGACTGTGGCTCTGCCAAATGAGTGAGAGTTTCCTCTGGTTGGCGTTAGTGTGAGTCTTCATTTCCTGACCATCTGCTGTTTGGGTGGCAGCAAAGCCCTCTGGGTGCCAAAGGAATGGCAGCCCAGAATGGAAAAGGCTCCACAGATGCTCATGAGCAGAGCAGCTGAAGTCACATTCTGCGGAGGCCCCCGGTGCTGGACCACTCCCTCCATGCAGGGGCCCATGCCATGCACAGGAATCAGGCTCACCGGCTTCCAAGCCCAGCATCTTAGCCTTTGTCTAGAGTCCTTTTCCTGCTGAGCACTTGTGAAAATAGGTTTATGGTCAGCCAAGAGTAGAGGGGAGTGTGTAAGAGATAGAGAGCATGTGTGGAGGAAGGCAGGGAGGCAGGGAGGAAAGGAAGCAGATAGACTAGTACTAGAACCTCTTGGGCCCCAGCACAGAGTGCAGCATAGCATGGGCTTAGTCATGGGTGCACTTGTTTGCGCTCTGTCTCCTAAATTATAAGCACCATGTGTAGCTTTGGAAGGTTCCATTCCCAGCCTCCTCCCTCATTTTCCCAGGCCGCGTTCCCATCTTAGGACCAAACAGGGATTAGTAAGTCATCTCTTCATCGTCACCTGCTGCACCTACTGAAATATCATGTTTCATGTTTCTACACCCATGTTCACACAGCACTGGTCAAAGAGCCAGAACACAGAAGTCATACAAGTGTCCAGCAATAGCTGAGCAGATAAACATATGTGGTCTATCCGTGTGATGGAATATTGTTCAGCCAAGGAATGTAATTCCTTTTAATGGAAGGGAATTCTGGCACATGCTACCACAGGGATGATCCTTGAGGATATTTTGCCCCATGAAATATCCCAGACACAAACAGACGTACACTTCATGATGCCACGTGTATGGATTATCTAGAGGAGTCACATTCACAGAGACAGAAAGTTAAATGGTGGCTGCCAGGGACTGAGGGAGAGAATTAGTGTTTAATGGGCACAGAATTTCAGTTTGGGAAAGGAAAGAGCTCTAGATATCTGTTTCACAACAATCTAAATATACTTACTTAAACTGAATTGTACACTTAAAAATGGCTAAGATGGTAAAAAAAAAAAAAAAAAAAGAAACAGACCTAAAGCTTCTAGAAGACACAGAAGAATATTTCTGCAACTGTGTTAAGGGTAGGAATTGCACAGTGAATTAAATACTGAGCAGATGTAAGAAAACCTTTCAGGCACTTGAGGGCTGAGGGAGGGTGCCAGGAAAGCCCTTGGAAGGGGTTGGGCCTCACAGGGAAGGTGTGCTTGCAGCCCACTAGATGTCTTCAAAGCCCAGGTTCCTTCCACCTTGTTGCTGCTTTAACATACCACATCTGCCTCCATTCCTGCCACTGTTTTTTCCTGCCACTAAATGTCAGAAAAACCCACTGGCTTGCCCTGGGCAGGCTGGTCTACAACTACCGGTGGTGCAGTGTGGGTGCTATGCAACTGGTGATCCCTGTAGCCAGGCATATAACCAACACAGGGAGTCAGGATGTGGGCAGGGGGCCTAGAGCACGTGGAATTCCAGATCAAGAGGGCATGGAAATTTTGTCACCAGCCAGGTGTGAAAGGAAATGCACATTCAGGTGCATGGCCAGATGCTAGATGTCTTCATCCCACACCTCTACCATGCAGCAGCAGGAACTAGTAGGAGAGTCCCTTCCTCCACATCATCCCCCCAGCAGCCTCTACTGAGAAAGAATGACCCTGTGCTCACTGGGGAGAATGCCACCTCAGAGCAGGTATGGAAGGGTGATATGGAGCTTAGAGGGGTGAACTGGCTCAGTGACCGTAGGGGAAGAAAGAGACCTCTTTGGCAGGACATGTATTTACAATAGTGGGGGTGCCAAAAAAAGCATACACATTTTAAGAGATATTATCTATGTATTACTGTTTGAAGTTGAATTGAATTACAATAGCAATGTGTAGTATAACATTCCCTCAAAAGATGGCGTTAATCAAATGAATGCTAGCATCACCATGCGACAGGCAGGGCAGTCAAAGAAAGTGGCGGAAGCACGGTTTTAGTTCAAGCAGTGAAAGACCATTTTGAAGTGGTATTTGAAATTTGAGAACATTGTGGAAGTACAACAACAATGGAGGCTTGAGTATGCAACAGAACCTCCAACAAGCCTAATAATTGCTTGCATTCATGATAAGTTTGAAATACATGGTACTGTGTGTGATGTGCACAAGGGAAGATCTGGGAGGCCTCGCACAGCAATAAATCCTGCTTCTTCTGCTATGGTGTTGGAACAGTTTACATGCTCACCACGGAAGTCCACCAAACAATGTTCACATGCGACATGAGTTAACAGAACAAGCATACCATGCATTCTTAAAACAGCAAAATGGAAAGATTTTATCCCAGGATTATTACATGAACTGAATGTAGATGACCCTGATTGAAGTGTGAAGTATTGTGAATGGTTCCAAAACATGATATGAGAGGATGAGGGGTTTGTGAGGAAAATGGTTTGGTCTGATGAAGCATGGTTTGAATTTAATGGACCAGTGCTGTTAGTTTCCCCTACATTCGCCTGACTTAACATCCTTTGACTTCTACCTATAGGGGACCTTAAAGGATGTGGTGTACCGCAGAAAACTGGCTACACTGGTGATATTTTGGAAAGAAATTGAAAAGGCATGCACAGAGATATGAGTGGACCCTTTGGTCAGTGTTGCTCAGGCAGTAGTTAGCTGTAATCAGAAGTATCTGGACTCTGATGGTAACTACTTTGAGCACTTCTTGTAATTGCAGAAGTCAAATGTGACTTATATTTATCTTTTATTATCTGTATATATCGACTATTATAATTTTAATAGTTATTTCCTTTCTTAAAATGTGTATACTTTTTTTTGGCACTCTCTGCATATAAAGAACTTCTTTTAAAAGTCAATGATCAGTCAGAGCAACACAGCGAGACCTCATCTCTACAAAAATAAAAAAATTAGCCGGGTGTGGTGGCACATGCCTGTAGTTCCAGTTACTCAGGAGGTTGAGGTGGGAGGATGACTTGACACCTGGAAGTTGAGGCTGTGATGAGCCATGATTGTGCCACTGCACTCCAGCCTAGGTGACAGAGTGAGGCCCTGATTCAAAAAAATGAATAAAATAAAAATAAAAATGAAATAAAATAAAATAAAAAGTTAATGTTGAAAAGATGAATTTTCAAAATGAGCCACAAAGACTTGAACAGTACACAAAAGAAGATACATGAACAGCTAATAAATGTGAAATTGTGCACAATACATGAGTCATCAAGGAAGTGCTAATTAACACGTCAGTGAGATACTACTTCAAGCCCATTTGAATGGCTAAAATGGAAAAAGACAGAAAATACCAAGTGTTAGGGAGGAAATAGAGTAATGAGAATGTGTGTACATTGCTGGTATAAAATGGTACAGCCACTTTGGAAACAGTCTGGCAGTTTCTTAGAAAACTAAATATATACTTACTGTCATCCAGAAATTCCACTCTATTTACCCAGAAGAAATAAAAATATTTGCTTACACAAGTACTTGCAAACAAATGTCTTAAAATGTAGATTTAGGACAGGCATGGTGGCTCATGCCTATAATCCCACCAATTTCTGAGGCTGATCACTTGAGGCCAGAAGTTCAAGACCAACCTGGGCAACATATTGAGATCTTGTCTCTCAAAAAAAAATTAGCCGAATATGGTAGCACACACCTGTAGTCCTGGCTACTTGGGAGGCTGAGGAGGGAGGATCGCCTGAGCCCAGGAGTTTGAGGCTGCAGTCAGCTATGATAGTGCCACTGCACTCCAGCCTGGGTGGCAGAGGGAGACTCTATCTTAAAAAAAAGTAAAAAAAAAAGAATAGGTTTATTCATAACAGCCCAAACTGAATAGCCCACATGTCCATCCCCAGGGAAATAGGTAAACACATCGTGGTGCACCTGACAGGGGAAACTACTCAGCAGTGAAAAGGACTTCAGAACAGCTAATTCAAGTAACAGCATAGATGGATCTCAAAAACGTTTTGTAAGTGAAAGAAGCCAGATACATAACAAATGATTCCATTTATTTGTGATTCTAGAACCGGCAAAATCAATCTATGGTGGAAAAAAGAAATTAGAACAGCGATAGCTTCTGCAGTGGGGGGAGAGGGTGTTGGTTGGAAAGAGATGTGGGGTGCCTCTCTGGGGACATAATGCTGTAAATCTTGATATTCATGAGGGCTCGTATATACAGTTGTTGAAATGCACCTATCTGAACCTCCCAGATTGGTGTTTTCTTGTGTGTTAGTTATAATTCAACATTAATGTCTACAGCGTGCCTCACTCACCCACCCACCAACTGAATGCTACAACCCATGAGTCCCATTATTTCGGGAAGACTTGGAAGGTATTGTCTGAAGAGAAGAAGAGGTCACATCAGACGGACAAGAAAGTGGCCCAGGCTAAGGAATGGAATTTCACTCAGCTGCCTGAGCAGAAAGCCAGGGGAGTGGTCTTCCTGCATCTATTCCCCGCCTATCAGCCACTCCTGCCTTCTTTCTTGCTAACAAAACTCCAGTTGTGTTGAGGTAATAGATTATAATATCATTTGAAGGTTCTAGAAAAGATCCCAAAATAACGGGATTTAACAGAGAAGTCATTTCTTGCTCAGACAGGATCTGAGCTAGTATGGCAGCTGACCTCCAGGAACTCCTCAGAACCCAGGTTCCTTCCACCTTGTTGTTCTGCCTCTTTAACACATGGTGTCTGTCTTCCTGTTCAAGATGTCTGCCTCCATTCCGTCCACTGTTTCTTACTGCCAACCAGCACGGACAGAGAAGGAGGAACAAGGGCATACTCCTTCCTTTTCAGAGCTTGCTCCAGAAGTTGTACACGTCATTTCTGCTTACACCTTACTGGATAGAACTTAGTCACGTAGGATGCCTAACTGTAAAGGAGATAGGGAAATGTAGTCTTTATTGGGGCAACCATGACCTAGGTAAGATGTGGGAATTTAGTTACTAAAATTAAGAGGTAAAGAATGGACACTGGTGACTATCTCTGCCCCAGGGGGCAGTATATTCAGCTCAGGTGACAGATCAAGACCAGGCCTCTTTGATTCCATATTTTCCAGACTCCCTTGCAGCTAGGGGTGGGCCTGAGACCTAAAGAGGAGTCTGCTGGGGAAATTCAGGGTTTTTGCTTTCAGAAGAAATGGGGACCTATATGGCACGTGGGCTCCTCCCTGTTTCTCCCTGGCTGCACCCAGACATGGTCTGGAGCTCAAGCAGAAATACTGTGACCATGAGGCAGCAGCCCTGAGGAGAAGGTGAATAGCAACTCAAAGGTAAGGCCCACACAGCATCAAACCTCTCAAGAAGGCAGTGGCTTCCCAGGTCTGATCTAGTGATGGGAGGAGGAAATTCTACTTCTATTACATTAAGTCCCATCCATTCCTGGTGGGCAGGCACATGGAGCTCATAAACGAATGCTGGCAACTGCCCCAAGGATGAGTTATCTGGCCACCATCTGCCAAGGTCAGATTGGACACCAGAGGGGAGAGTGCACATTTGGTGGCACAAGTTGTGAGGCTGTCTTTAAAAATTCACTCTTGCTGCGTTAATGGGGTGACCAGGCCAAGCCCTGATCTGGAAGTGAAGAGTGAGCATTTAGCTTGCTTCTGCATTTCCATGACCAGAGGCTTCATGTTGCTTCTGGAACCTGTCGGGAAGAGCCAGGTGCCTCCCATACCCCCAGCTGGGCTTACCCATGAGCCCAGTGTAGAGAGAAGGAAGAAAATGATCATCTGCATCTACTCTCATTGGCATGTATTTTTAAAGCAAATTTTTGGAAGCCGTAAGAAAAAAGATGGGAAATAAACGCAGCTACTTCCTAACATGACTAGGATTTTCAACACAGAAAAGAGTTTCTGAAGTCCCCAGTCCCAAAGTCTTTTGGACATGGGTCAAAGATGGTCACTGCAAGCAGACTCTAGCCCTTTCTCTACATACTCTCTCCTGTTTTTATCCTCTATGAAGCTGTACAAGAACTCTATTCTTTTCAATCTTGTCTGTTTTCTTAGCATCCTGATAGCAGGTGCAAGTAGGGGTGCTTGCTCCCTGCCTCCCACCACACCCTGGGGACAGCAGCGGGTCCCGGAGTGACGGCAGCTGTCAGAACCCACTAGAGCCAGCGTTTCTGTCTGACTCCAAGACCTCTGGGAGGCTGGTGCCTCACCCCAGGAGCATCCCTCACCTTGTTCTCCAAGTGCAGGGCTGGAGGGCAGTCGCTGTTGCTGGCCTTTAGTGTGTTCCCTGTACCACTAACTCCCTGAACTTCCGGTGGGAGCAATGGACACTTGTGTCCAACAGCCACTGGGAGAGAGGAAGAGGCCTGATCCTGGTTAAGGACACCTGTTGCAGGACCTCCTGGCCGAGGGACTCTGGTCAAAAGAGGGAGTGGACTAACCCTGGACAGCTCTGCTTGCTAGAGAGAGCTCATGGCCACTATGACCCAAACAAAGTTAGCAAGGAGGTGGGCAGGGGCTTCATGGGGGGCAGGTATGCTGGAGTGAGGTTGAGAGAGGCAATAGGAGAGTCTGGTCCTCCCCTCTTCCTTTTCCTCCCTTTCTCTACACACTCTCTCCTGTTTTTGTCCTCTATGAAGAGTTACAAGAGCCCTATTGTTTTTTGTTTTTTTTTTGAGTTGGAGTCTCACTCTGTCACCCAGACTGGAGTGCAGTGGCCGCTCCTGGCCACCGCAGCCTCGACA